ACACCAGGTCTCCCTTCCAGCCCTGCCCTGCGCCCCGTGCACAAGGACAACCCTGGGGTGGAAATCTTGAGCTAAAGGGTTCGTAAGGCATTTATTTAATGTATTAGCCAGCCGTTTGCTAAACCCAGAATGCCTTTGTTAATCCAGCGGAAGAATGATTCATCACGGAGATGTTAACTGTCCTTCTGTACACACCCGTGCTGATGGGCGTGCTGAAAAACCTGGCAAGTGACATGATCAATGATTTATTTTTTTTTTAAGGGTACCCCCTACCCTCTGCTAAATGGACATCTCCTCGTTAGTCCACCAGCTTGCTCAAGAAATTACTCCAGAAGGGATGAGGACTCTGAGTAAGGGAAATCAAGCCAGAAACTGCAAAGTATTAGTCCCAGACTACAGAGGGTGATGGTGCCAGAGAGGAGGAACGATCCAGGTGGATAACCAAGCCCATGTCCTTGCTGTAGCTCATGGATGGGCTCTCCTGGGCAGAGCTACGGACAGCCACACACCCGGCTCAGGGGCTCCGGCTCCTCTGGCATCGGATGAAAAAGGCAATCCTCAAAGATGAGGAAGACTCTGAGGTGAATAGCTTCGTGTTTACCATGGACATGCACAGACACGGAGCCGTGTCAGTGGGGAAAAAGCTACAAGTCTTTTGGATCCGCTGGGAAATTCATGGAGATTCGTGTCTGTGAACTGTTTCCCTGCAGGAACAATTAAACATGGGGGTTTTTTTTGTTGTTGCTGTTGGTTTGCTGTTTGTTTTTTTTTTAAGGATTGTATAAAAGAACACATGCTTTCTATGGAAGATTGCTGGATGAACAGCATTTAATCATTCTCCAGTTTGGTTTTTTTTGGTTGTTTTTAGAAGATCTAAACAACCCGATTTCTACTCCCATTTTCCTGCAAAAGATAGAAGAGGTTATTTTCAAACTATAGAAACATGGGCAATAATGCATTCAGCCTCGTAATCATGTTGTCAGGGTTTATATTCTTAATAGGCTTGGAAAACGCAGGCCCACCATGAAATAAGTATTACGTACTTAATTTTCATTTTATTTCTTCATGTGGTTTCGGATTAACCGTGAGCCACCCTCAGAAAAACACACTCCTACAAACTTGGGTTCCTACATTGCTTTGAAAAACAAATGAATCATCCCTGGTATTTTTCCTGATATTTTCTGGTTTTACTCTGATCCCTCTAGATGTGACCACTTTAGACTACTTTATACAAAAGTTTAACTTTTCCTCTCTGTAGCGTAGTGTCCTTAATCAGCTCATTTCGTATCTGTTATAAAAATCATACATATTGGAGCCTCATAACCACCCTGCAGGAGAGCACAAACTGATTAACATTTAATTGTCAGCTCTTCCAAGCACCACGTTGAACCAGGAGACGAACCCAGGAGTCTTTCTCCCTTGCTTTAATCTCCATTTGTGTTTCTAAACGTTCATGAGCTTGGAGATGAGAGATCATTACAGAGTCACCAGCATCCCCAGGAGATACGGAGGTTGCAGGCACAGCCCCGGTGTGTCCCGTTGGGATATTTGCCCACCAGACCAGGACATGGGGAGAGTTGTGGAAGGATGGTACTGGGTGTCCACCACGTGCCTTCCCCCATATACCTACGGGCAACGCATGGATGGGAGCGCACGATCCCCGGGAGCATGCAAAGCAGACGGCATAGCAATACAAGCATGGGGACTCCACTTCTGACACGTCAAGGATTGGGAGAAAACACTTTAGGGAGGTGCTATATCTCAGTGCAATTCAGAAAAAAAAAAAACATCTAAAATGGTTTAATTTTTGGCTCCCTGGAGATTACAGCTTCCCAACATCTTTATCACACAATTTTCAATTAATGTAACGTAATTCTTACTGAATCACAGCTCAGCCACCATCGGCAATGCCCAATTAGAATCGCAACGACTCCTCTGAAAATTAAAGGAGGGTCTCAATTCCTCCGGTTTGGATATCCTACCTCCAGTTGCTCTCAGAGAGGGCAACAGGACCTAGAGAGGGCAACAGGACCAGAGCAGAAGAAGAGAAAGAAACAAAAGGGCAAGCGAAAGGGAGAGAGGGGTGAAGAAGCAGTGGGGGGAAAAAAAAGAAGAAAGTGTTTGACCTGGCAACTTGCTTTAAACCTTGATAAGCCAAGCCGAGTTCTCCGTCTTCATTGAGATACCCCCAGTCCTCAGTCTTGCTAGAAATAAAGGACAGAAAAAGGAAACAAGAGGATAGAGAAAGACAAAAGGTCAATTGCAATAGAAGGAGAAAAGGTGCAGGACCCTTATTAAAATTATTTTTTTTTAAAAGCACACTTTCATTACATTATATTTCTTTTTCCACCATGGTGGTCGTGCCCTGTAGGACAGCCCTGTCTACTGGAGTTTCTCCTCCCTCCCCAGCTGCAAAATGTGTCCTCGTGCAGCCCTTTCCTCCCCAACCCATCGCAGCCAACACCGGTACCCAAAATCATTCCGGTCGGAAGGCATCATTGCAGATCACCCAAGTCCTACCTCCCGGCACGTTATCATCGTTCCTGAGATGTTACTGTTTTTACCAAAAAACTCAACTCCCGGAGCTCAGAGCCTGAGTTTTTGTTTCTGCGTGGTTAAATTGTTTCCCATTTGATTGCAAGGGAAAGCTGGGAAGCCCGTGCCACAGCAGTTAGCTCAAATCCTCATTAAAACCTTATGCTTAAAAACCAGGGAGGAGAAACAAGGTCCATGAGAGAGAAATGAGAGCAGAAATCAGCAGGAGAGGCAAGGAAGAGGTGGCCAAACACAGAGGGGGTAAAACGAAAAGCAGAGAGTGATCCTTAACAGATCCCAACAGGCTTCCTTGCTTCCCCTCCCCAAAAAATTAATTATTTTTGAGCTGCAACAGCCCACGTGCACTTCCAACCCACACTGCAAACACAACCCAACCCCGTATTTTATTGCATACTGATAGCCTGGAACAGCTCCCTCCTCTTCCAGACCTTCCGTGCTCTGGCACATCTCACTCCTAAGACATTTTGAAGACAAGTTTCTCCACTTCCTTCCTTCTGCCGCAACTTCCACTGCTCTAAAATAAATTCTCTTCCTTCTACTTCAGTCGAGGGTCTCCTCGATCATCAAGTCAAACACATCAGCCTTTCCTGAGAGCAACCTTCGGTCCCAACATCCCTTGGATGTTTTGTTTCCTTACATCCATATGAGATCAAATCTCCTCTGTATCCATTCAGGCAGAAAAACGCCCAGAAAAGTCTCATTTCACTTTAATAATAAAAGTTTCCTTTTAAAAAAAACCCAAACCCCAACCTGTTAAGTTATAAAACACAGGAAACTCATTCATCTTCTTTCATGAGGTGCTGAAGACATTATAAATGAGTGATGTAAGCTGGTCGACCTGATCAGGAATACTTGCTACAGCAAGATTTTACTTGGCTTCAATGTGAGTTAGAAAACGGGTTTTCTTTTTGGAAATAATAATTTAAAACACAAACAAACAAATCACTTAATATATCATTAAACTTTCAGACAAACAAAAGAACTAAGCCAACATGCATCTCCCTTTTTGAAAAGGGGTGTAGCAGATGCCATTCCCTGGCAAGGAAAGCTCTGCGTATTTAAGTGGAAAAACCCCCTTTCTATAGCAAATTTTCAGATGACGAAAGCAGTGAGAAATGTGGTGGTGCAGCATTACCACAAAAGGCCTCCAGAAGTGTCCCACCGCGGCAGACAGCTGATACATCCCTTCCATCCTGGTGTACGACCGTGACTTTTCTCAAAAGTAGCAAACGTTTCAGGCATTAACGTTTGGAAAATTCATCTGGTTAAAGCCGTATGTATGAATTTAAATTAAAACCTTGTTTTTATCCCACAAAGAGTAGGTTTCTATAAGGGTCTGTAGGCTGACAGATACAGGGAGGTTTCTTGGTCTGGTTTGGGTCAATTTGTTAGTAGGGTATTTTTTTTGGTTTAGATAATCTTAACAGAACATATATCTAGGCACTGAAAACCAAGAAAAAAACCAAACCAACAAACAAAACAGGAAGGATCCTCACTATTTATTACGTATCCTGGGAAATCTCACAGGATGAGCAGCGTTTTTAAGAGAGGTATTCTCCTGTATAACCTTTGAAAAACAGCCTGCCTGCCTTTTTTAATCATATGCATTGTGGGAAATGAAGAAAGCAGCTCAAGGGGGTGCCGTTAGACAAAGATAAAACTGCCCTGGGAAATAAGCCTTCAGTCCATGTCCGTCGACACGGCACTGACTCAGAAATCATTGAGATCCCCTTCTCCCAGAAGTTCATGTTGACCAAGACATTAAAAAAAAAAATATCAACAGGGGTCCTTTCAAGCTAATTAGATTAATTAGCATGTGTTGAAATAATTTCCTAAAACGCTGGGTAAATCCTTCTCTCAAATAAGGCAGAAAGGAGTTGAAAGGGCATGATTCGCAAAGCCTCATTTCTCCTTTATCCTTATCTTGGAGGTCTGAGGGAGCAGCTGGTGATCTGCACTTGGCAAACTGCCTTCATATACGGGAGAGAAATTCCTGCCCAATTCCAGCCTCCCTCCCCTCCTCCAAGTAGCTTAAAGGAGGGGCACGTACACCAAACCCCAGAGATGTTAATTTTAGCATCTTCAGATAATTATCGTCTCTTAATAAAGAAGAAGGGGCATTTCATTTTCAAAGACAGATATGCCTCTTTTTTTTTTTAATTAATGTAAAACTAATGCACATCCCGTATTAGATACACGACAGAGTGGGAAGCAGTGATAAGAAGAGACGCATTGGAGAGCGGTGAGGAGAGATATGAACTCTTTTCCTTGCGATGGCCTCTTCCAGCTGCAAAAGCATCCTCCACGTGAAGCCAGCATCAGCCTTTCACTTTGCACTGCAGGTGCAGGTGGGACTTATCCAGAGGAAAAATAAAAAAATTTAAAAAAAGCCATGTACTGGACAGAAATCACTTGGAAGTTATCACAGAAATTAATTTCAAAGACTAAGCCTTATCTCCTTTGAGCTGCCAGGTTATTATCTCTAAAATCATCACCTGGTCTTTTGTTGGCTCTAGTTTCCACCGAGATCAAACAGGCTTGAAAGAAAGATCCCAAGAACCGAAACGGGGAACAAAAAGCCTACTTAGCTTTACATTCAGTTACTGAAGCAGAAAATTAGTCGGAAACTAACTTGATGCTTTTCTCTTTAGCAGCTGAAAGTCAGCATGGGGAAAAAAAAAAAAGGGGGGGGGAAAGCTGAGTTCACTGCATTTATAAGGGGCTGTTTTTAATTCAAACTTCCCCTTAACCTGGCATCGATGGGCTTTTCCCCGAGAGCAGCGTGGAGAAAGAGAATTGCTACATGGGCAGGGTTAGCAGCACCTGGCACTTTTTTGCTGTATTGAAATGTCCTGGATTATATAGAGATAGAGTGAATAAAAGGTCTATCTCCCACCAAAAGCCATGCTCCATCCCCAACCTAAGCAGCTAAGACGCGATGACTTCAAGCTAGGAGTCACCCATGGGCGGACCACGGCTTTACCACATCGGTCAGACTGGATCAGTGGAAGAGCATCCACCTCGGTTAGAAACCGCCCACAGAATAAGAGGTATCGCCGTAAAGAGAAATAGGAGTGCGTCTTGCAGTGGGAGAAAAAGCGGCTCTTGCTTATTAATCCCACTTCAGAATCACAATCCCACCAGAAGAGCTTTCCATTAAAATATTTATTGATCAAGATTAGAAAGAGAAAGCAGTTTTATTTCTCACACGCTGACACACTTGGGTATAAGAGCTTGCCTAAGTACGAATGCAAATTTGTGCTAGGGGAGGGAATGTTAATTTATATCCCCAAATCCAATAATCCATGCTCCCTGAGCATTTGTTTTCAGCTGGTTTTTTTTGCCATCGACTCCAGCCTACAGCTTATAAACCAACCCGATATACAAACAAATGCACAGGGAACCATACAATGGGGAAGCTGATGGTGATTAATGAGCCATTGGATAAATCACTGCAGAAAATCAGGGTGGGAGTAAGTAGAGCTACTGCTACCGTATTACAAGAGCCAAGCTCCTGCCAAGCTTCATACGAGAGTTAGACGATGGAGGTAATAGGAAACTGAGCCTGGAGACTGCAGATTTACCCTCCCAAATCTCAAGAGGCCAAAACCCACCAAGGCCCGATCACATGAACTTCTTAAATTGCAGCTCACCTCTGCAATTGCAAGGAAAGACGTTTGTACTCTTGTGGAAAATTAGATCATTGCAGCATTTTTGATCATTTCTGCGTTTGATTCAATCCTCCCTGCAGAAGTTGTTAAGTCCGGAAACCAGAAAGGCTGAAGAAGGACCGGAGTCTCCTGGCAGGCTGAGCGAAAGAGGACAACGCGTACTCCGGGATGGCAAAATATCAATTATTATTGGGGACCAGTGATACAACCTGGTCAGACGCACGCTCTGTGAAAGTAGCAACTCTTCTTATTGACTCCAACTCCTTCGCCAACACCTGAACACAAAACTAACCATGCCTACATGCGCACGCTGGAAAATGCAGTCTAGGGAGTAATTAAAGCTGTGCCTGACAATGGGATTTCGCATCCCATACCAGTGCCCACAGCTCCAGGAGAAAGCTGGAATAAGAGAAAATCATCATCATATCATAGAATCACAGAATGGTTTGGTTGGAAGGGACCCTAAAGCCCATCCAGTTCCAACCCCCTGCCATGGGCAGGGACACCTCCCACCAGACCAGGTTGCTCACAGCCCCATCCAACCTGGCCTTGAACACTTCCAGGGATGGGGCAGCCACAGCTTCTCTGGGCAACCTCTGCCACTGCCTCACCACCCTCACCGGGAAGGATTTCTTCCTTGTATCTCATCTAAATCTTCCCTCTTCCAGTTTAAAGCCATTGCCCCTTGGCCTATCCACAGAATTAAGTGACCAAAACCCACACCTTGCAGTAGGAAGCACATTAAGCTCCGTTGACTTACTGACAAAAAGGTGACGTTTAAATCAATTTCATCACCTCTGCTGCAGGAGGGGCAGAAATTTCATCAGCGAGTTTACGTCAGGAAAGCAAATATTCAGTGGCAAGAAATAAAAAAAAAAAAAAAAAAACCAAACATGTCCTGATCCAGCCAGACACGATGCCCAGGTGAAAAACCAGTGTCACCAGAGTCCTGGACCCCAACAGTCCCCACTCTTCCAGGTCCCCGGGCCAAAGTAAAAGCTGGCAGAACTACAGCGGGCAGAGCCTCAGTCCAGCCATCAGCATTTTAAGCTATGTTTAAATGCAACGCGTGTGGAACCCAGCCCTTCCAGCAAGCCCATCTTTGTACTCACAGGAGGTAACTGGAGAGATCTCCACAGGTTCTCCTAGGGCTTTCCCAACAAGTAAAACAGACGCAAAGTCAGAAAATCCAGCCCATACTACGGCAGAAATTTGGGAGACATACAGCACAGACGTGATGACCAAAGTTGACCGCACAGCTGTATATACATTGAATTTTTGCCCATCAATCTGGGCATGTGGATTTCCCATTGCACCTTTTTGGCCATCCAGTTCTGAAAGCATTAAACAACTCTTCGCAATGTTTCATACTGCATTCCAAGATGGTATGTCTTTGCTCATATTCATACAGGTATGAATAAAACCCTAATTAAGTCCTGGTCTTTCCCAGCCTGGACTGCTAACAAGCTTTTGCAACCGGTTTACAAAGTGGCAAAGTATACTGTGCTATTAAAAGCCACTAATCCACAATGGTTAGGTCTGAACTCAAATTATTTCAGAAAAAAGCCTCAAACATCTCTATTTGCCAAAAGAAAATGAGATGAACATTCAATTTCCTTGCAATAAAATGAATATTTATCTTGCATATTATCTTGCTGTTTAATCCATGTAATTTTGCCTTCTTGCAAGATGCTACTTTTTATTTAATGTCCTCCTGGATAGCTGTAAGGATTGATTTAATGCCTCACAATATAAGCCCACTGTTACTGTAAGGACAGACACACGTTCACAATATTAACCTTCGCTATGGGAAACCTGTAATCAAACAAATGTTCCCAACTCTCGGTTTAGATGCAAGAAAACCAATAACACAGGTGTTGCCAGACAATATAGCATGTGTTCGTTAGCTCAGTTCACCATCACGGGCTTTCACCTCTGGGAAAACGAGAGGTGCTGTCTTCCCAGCATAGCATGAGGACTTATTTGAAATAAGAAACTCTTAAATATATCCCAAATCCTAGTCTTGCTACTGTTTATGTACTGGAAGCAAAGTCAAAATCCAGTTTTGCTCACTCCCATGTTGGCTTTTCTACCTGCCCAGTATCTCCTCTCCCCTGGTGACACACTGCCTCAACAACAAAGGCTCCTCACCCGTCTTTATGGCTCACCCTTGACCCAAGGTCCAGAACACAATCCAGAAGCTGGTAACTCTCCAAAATGTTTTGTTAATTTTGATCTGGATCTCATCTTTCACACTTTGGCCAGCTCCTTCTGCAGCTGGAAAAATTTTGGTCAGACTTACCGGTTCGTCTCGCACATCCCCTGGTAGGCTTCAATCGCGTCCTCCTGATCAATGTGCTTGTCACTGTTCGGCCAGCTGGCATTGGTGGTGATGTTCTCCTAAATTTAACATGCAAAAACCAGAAGCATGACATCCTGCGCACCTCCTCCTGTCTTTCAAAGTTCCTGTTACCAAACAACTCCCAACCACCCTTAATAGAGCTTCCTCAGGGCATCCACCGGACTAGAGAGTTCCTAGGAACTCCTACGTATGCAAACAGACAGCAGCAGAGATTAGGAGATGGAAGGAGGCTGCAGTGAACGTGAGAGCGAGATAAGGAGGGTGTGTGGTCTGAAATACAAAACATACCAAAACCTCGAGGAATGATAAGGCGGTGAATTAAAAAGCCTAAGCGAGAGTTTTCAGAAGATGGACTCTTCCATCAGAACAGGTTCTAAACAAAAAACCCTCCAAGGACTGTGATGGTGAGCGGCTCTTTTCTCGCCTACGCACCAGTAGAAACACATGACAGCCGCACCAGCATCAAGTGAGCAGAATCTGGTCCCGAAGTTCTTTTCCCCCATCCTATTTCCTCGCAGAATAAGGCAGTTGTCACAACACCCCACCGGGAATATCTCAGACCACCACACCTTGGTGTGAGGTTGGAGAAGTTCTTCCTTGGTGTGGGCTGGCCAGACGTCAGCAGGTATGGGGTCAAGCACCTTACAGCAGTACAGACCACCACGGGACATATGGTCTTGGGCTGTCTGAAATGACGTCATGGACTGTATCTTCCATAGGCTGAACCTCCTATAACCCCCCCGAGCCATCCTGACACCCTGAACCTACCAAAGCAGAAATGGCATCCATGCAGGCAGTGAATTTTCAGCAACAGAATGGGAAAAGGAAAAGAAAATCAATACCCTCTCAATTACCATGTTTTTCCCTGTCTCTTTTTGCTGGGCTGCCTTCATAATCTGCGTCCTCAGGATGAGCACCTCTTCCTTCCGCACTTCCAACTCCTCGTTGGCCGATTTCAGTTGATTCAGTAAGAGGTTATAACTGTCCTGAATATCGTTGCAGGAGTTGTTCTGGGTTGCTCGGTCTGCGATAGCTTTCCTCAGCTCATTAAGTTCATTTTTCAGCTTCTTGTTCTCTGACTCCAGCTCTTGCCTCTGGAAAATATCAAGTCATTAACTAGTTTAGATAAACTCTTGCAGCACCTCATCCTCTTCTGAGATGCCTCTAAGGTAACTCAATTATCGATGATCACAGCCGAACGATCAATTCATGCCAGAATCTAGATTTTGCTGCCAGTCCAACTATGTGTGGTTCAGAAAAGATTTTTGCTGCGATCAGTAGCCTGTTGCTATTTAATAACAACACTACGGGGTGACACAGGGGAGATTTTTTATTTGTTGCCATTATTTTTAAACACAAAAGCCAGCTGTTAGAGAAGGCAAACACATTTGTTTCTTCTCCACCCCTTTTCCTTCTCAATCAAGAGATCACCACAGACCCTACAACGTTTAGCTCATCTTTCATATTCATTAGATAAGCCAGAAGATGCCAATTTACACAACCCTTCATCATGGCAGATGTCCTGTTAGGTGAGCAACGGCTGTGTGAATTCCCACTACAGCTTCTTTTCTCACACATTTTGTAATTCCCTCACCCCTGTGCAATGTTTGCAGTTGGAGGATTTTCTCACCCTGATGTCTCGTCAGCTGCTGGCATTTGACAGGCAAGGGCAATATTGTACAAGTTTGACGCCAACTGCTTCTCCTGAATAACGATGCACGAGCATCGCCGTGTTTGCTGAGACAACAAAAGGGCTTTTTGCATGACAGTAAAAGACAGAAAAATAGAACTCCAGCAGCCAAGACAGTCTTTATTTCAGTATTTCGCCATGAAGCAGGTGGTGACACCACCTTTGGCAGCTCTTCACCAGCTCCCAAAACCCACCTGGAGCATCCCAGCTTTGCTCCTGCAGGTGAGGCAGTCCTTGCTATGGGTGACAGATGGGAACGGAGCCAGACTCCTGGGGGTCCTGCTCACAGCCCAAATCCCACCAACCCACCTTCTCTTTGCACCGAATCCTCTGTCACCAGCTGCACGGTGGCACCCAGGACTGTTCTCTCCCATCCCCATGCACCCAGACCTTTCGGACAACGTCAAAACTCAACAGGATCTGTATCCAACTACCATGTGGCAAAACCCGAGACATCTCGAAGCGAGCTGACAAAGTCTGGTGTCTGACTGATTTGGGGTCAGCTCTTTCCTAGGGACCGACCTCCATCCATGTGGATTCTCTAGGGTCTACACTAGCACAAGCTCTTTCCCCCACTGCGATCCAGACACTTCTTTCTCCCTCGCTGCCTTTTGACCCTTTCCACAGCTTTCTTGCACAATCCCTCTTCTCTACGGGATATCTGCTTCATTATCAGCTTTGGCTGAGGCAAGCTAATGAATCCAAAAATGCCTTGGGGGGGATGGTGGCAATTTATACAGTGTGTAGCTAGCGCAGCTGTGTAAACTCAGTTTCCATAGGAAATGGGTGTTATAATTATAAATCCTTACAAATTATAAATAGCATGCCTTAGCACAGCAGAGGTGTGAACAGAATGGCTGATCTGGCATCTGGACAGCTGGCAGAGTCCTAGCTGAACAAACGCTATCAGTAACGGAGAGTATTCAGGTACTTTATACCATCTGTCATTTAAAAAAAAAAAGAAAGAAGTGCATTAGATCCAGCAATTCCTCCACATCCACATTAACCACAGCTCAGCAGAAGGAGCATACGAGACACTGCCTTTTCTACACCTGTTTTTTAAAACAAGAGTTTGAAAAGTGTGCGTGCGGTGGGGAATCAATACCAAACTGGGTTTAACTCTTCTTGCCGTGTGGCTAAAGCATCGATTCCCTTTCTACTCTTTTCTGATCATGCTCAGAGACAGGTAAAGGGTAAAACGAAAGCAGTTACCTGCTTTTCTACAGAACTGGCTCTTCTGTGATTTTTGTTATTTGCTGAATAAGACTCCTGCTTTTCCTTTTCCTTCCTTTCCTCCTTCTCTTGCCCTTCTCTCCTTCTCTTTTTATTTTTTTGATGGGTCAGTCACGCTGCTAACTCCAGGGATTGGTTGTATCAAGCTGAGCTCTGGTTAGAAACAAAGCCAGGAAGATGAGGAAAGCAAGCGATAACCAACAACTCTGCTCCACGACCCCATGCCTTGGACTCATTTCAGAGTTTACATTTACATTCATTCCCTACTCCCTTCTGGGTGGATTTCATGGAGCAATGTTAAAAATAATTATAGACACGGGCAAGATGTCTATTGTCCCCTGCCCGTACACCCTTTTTGTACCAGCATCAGTGATGGCAGAACAGAAGCTAAAATAAAATGCTTTGAACGTGGAAAGGGAGATTTCTACTTGCGCTGTGAGAAATGCTCTTTCTTCAGCATAGTCTAATCGCGCTGATTTATTTGACGTGTTATATAGTCAGAACATCCTGAACTTGAACTCACACTTGTCCCAACACGTACAGCATTATGGAGGTGTGAAAGGGGTACCCAAGCACTAACGGTGATGGAAACAGCCTCACTCTTTAGGAAGGGACTTATATAGCAGTGCTGGGGGAAGTATGAGCCGGTGTAAATCGGAGGTTAGCACCACCATGCCAGGAATTTGCCCTCTCTTCTATTTCTGGTACTCGATAGGAAAAGAAAATAAAATCCTCCAGAAGCTCATTTTATGATGACCTTCCAAGTCTAACGGATGAAGCAAACATCCCAGCTGTGCGAAGAACAAGAAATCAAATTATGTATTGCACTCCTCCTAGGAATACAAGGTCAGGGCAAGGACTCCTTGGTGCTTTCATTCCCACTCCCACTTTCCCAGTCTGAAAAAACAAGCTGGAAAATCCATTTTTCAGTGGGGAACTTTTGGTTGTACAGGTGTGACTCAGGCACATACCTCCCACCAGGAAGATGTTTCACATCCCTCCAGCCCTGCATCATGGCTAACCAAACACCTGGCTGGGCATATTTGGGGATAGCATCTACTGAAAACTCTATTTATCCCTTACAAAGGACACATAATTTATACCTGCTGTCAACATATCAGTGTTAGGCCGAGTTTCTCACATTTCTTTGCAGCGTTACAGAAAGAAACAACCAACCCTTATCCAGACGAGCCTCTCTAAGGAAGGACTGTGCCTCACTTGCATCCCTCCGTCAACATCTGCACCAAGAACAGGCTCCCCACCAAAAGCTAATCCCAAAAGCAAATCCCTGCCATCGTGGGTGCCGTGACAGTACAGGATAATTACACCAAGACACAAAGCTAGATGACAGTAGACATGTATGAAGTAGCACACCACGTGCTGGTTGCAAAAACCAAGCCCGCACGGCCATCCACTAACACCCACACCTTGCATTGCCCCACTCGAGGGGCTGTGCATGTCAAAAATATCATGAATGGGACTCAAAAGCAAACAGAAGCAGTGAAGACTTAGGTCACAAAGTACTGAACAAGACCCAGAACATCCTTAACCCCAACAAAACCTGCTCTTCGGCAATAATCATATTTATTATGTTTACCCAAACTGATATTTGTATGCATTATTTTAAAATAATGCATATACTTACATTTACATTTTTATTGTATTCATATATTTTCACTCCTATTATCCAAACCAAACTGATTTTATCCAAATCATGACCTTATCCAAGCATCTCTCCCCCATCCAGTGCAAGACTCCTACACCACGATGAGTTGTTCCACTGCATCAATAACAACTCTTCACACCTCAGCTAGCTCAAAATTCATATCCATAATCATTTCAGGGAAATATACTGGTTTCTGAAAAGACACTGCAGCCACCTTTCTAAAACCTTCGGAAATCTTTCTAAACCACCTAAGGAGTCCCAGTTCCCAAAAGATCGTGCATCAGTGGCGAAAAGCCAACATCCCTTCCTCCTCCGTAAGTTGGTATCTCATGGACAATCCAAGAGCATCCACAGGAAGAGTTTTCTGCGTGTAAGCTTTTAGACACCTCAAGCCTAGTTCCCCAAGAGAAAGACTTTTTAAGCTGGCAAAAAGGAAAAATAAATCTAATTACAACACGACTTTTGAAGGAGCCAGAGATAGTATAAATATTTGAGATAAAGATTAGCAGAAGAAATAGAAGAGAGGAAGAGCTTTGTTATGGACATAGACGCAGCTGTCATGGGGGAAGGAGGGAAAAGCAGCACTCAAAGTCAGCAGTAAGGCATGCTCTCGTTGCAGATGGAGACTTCAGGCGGTGTCCCATATTCAGAAGTGGAGAAAACACCAGTAAGCTGTATTTCTCTTTCTTTTTCAGTGGTTCCTCTCAGGTCAACCCACCTATAGGGAATGCAAAATCCTTTCCTTTAGGACAAGGGGTTGCATCTCACTCTGGCATTTGAAAGAATTGCTCCTTGCTTTTCAAAGCGACGTCAGCTCTTCCTAGACTGACAGTCACCCAACATGTCGGTATCCAAAATATCATGGGCTACAGCTGGTCGGTGCAGGTCTGCACTGCGTTAAAGCAAGCTCGTAGACCTGGTTGTTCCTTGTTGCAACCCTCAGGTCATTTTCCTGCAACTCCAGCAAGAATCTTGTGCTGGAGAATCTTTAAAGAGAAACTCTTGCCACTAAATAACTGAGATGTGTTTCCTTGCAAGTTCATTTTCCACCTGTTTGAGGTTAAAGTTTAAAGAACGCTGTTTTTTTCGTAACACATGCTACCTATTCTTATGAAATAGTATTAATAGAGAGTTATTAAGGTTTGTTAGATACGTAGGACTAAGCATGTTAGTGTGTTAGGAATGTAGAAAGTAGGAAAATCCAAAATTAATATTTCCATTCTGAACTTCCCGAGTTAAAACCTGAAGAAAACACAATTTGTCAATTCACACAGAAGTCGAAACTCCAGAAGTCATTTAAGAAGGTGGTGGTTCTCATCTGCTGGGTTTTCCGCTTCCCAACTGCAACCTCACTTTGCTTTACAAGGTCAAGTAACTTAAAACTTCCATAGCCACGCTGAACCAACTGGAAGACACTTGGGCAATGATCTTAAAGCTCCTGCCACCCTTCAGCGGTACTAACGACACTCCGCAGGGTTTCCTTCAATCACAAAAAGCACGTCTAGCAAGTGCAACACATATTGCGCTTAGAGACTAAAAGTTGGAAGACTAAGTGCCAGAAAAAGCTACTGCTGGAGGTATGCTCTTGGCAAGGGCTGAACATACATCCTTCCCCTCTCTAATTTCTGCTTTTTTGCATCCTTCGGAGGAGATGATGCAGACAGCAAAAATTGGTATTACTACCATCAGATGGTTTAGTATGATGTTATCCTAGGTAACATACATTCCTCTGGATTTCTCAGTTGTATTGCAATATTTGTTAAGGGTATGGGGAGAGAAAGAGCATCTGAAATGATGCAGGTCTGCACTGAAAAAAAAAAAAATTTCCTTTACAAAGCCTGCCCTAGAAACTGGTTTTCTGAGGATCAGCAGGATATAAGAAATGGCCTAACAGTCATGACCAGAAGTATTTGGGTACAGTTAGAGCAGGAAGGCACAACTCACACAAGCCGCAATAGGAGTCTAGCAGGTTTCAGTTGCTCTGTATGTCGTAAGGAGAAAATGATGGAAGCAGAACAGCAAGGATTCAAAGCTTAGGGACAAGACAAATTGTAGGGGGGGGCAATAGTTGGGAAGACACAAGATGACTATGGTCAACCAGCACTGCTGCTGGAAGATGGAGGCTATTACTGCAATCCATGCAGCAGATTTATTTGGTTTTGATCTGAGTGGCACCTTGGGAATTCAAGGACAGTAGACAAGAAGCAGATTTGGAGCCTGGAACAAGAAACACATTGGGCTTCAGCCACGAGAATTCACACCTACTGCAGAAGAAACTGTTGAGACCTCCAGTGTCATGTCAAAGGAAACCCAAGAAAGTCCCAGTGGGAATGGTGCACTTCACCGTAAGTGGGCTTGTTACTGCCGTGGATGACTCGGAAACAGGCAGACCAGTGCAGAACAGATGTTGCCCCAGAGAGAAACATTGGTGAGCTCACCCCAGGCCCAGGAGCTGATGGAGAGCTACAGCTTTCCAGCTGCCATCTCTAATAGTCAGAGCCGATTACAGGAGGTTTTGGGTTATTACCACATTCAGACAATTTCTTCGGGCTGTTGGAGCCATCCGATAAGTTACAGCACTAAGTATGAGCTCCTCACTCACCTTCAGACTGTTGTATGCAAAATCTTCGTGTTCTGAAGTCACTTCAGTCTTCGTTTCGATCACCTGTGTGGATTAAAGAGATAAATTTCTATTTAAAAGCAGCCAGAGGAACTGGCACGTGGGACAGGATGGCTAGGCACATCTCCATCAACAGCCAGCTCTGCCGCAGCGCTGCTGGCCAACTCAACCACAGTAATATTATTAATTGGCATTAGACCGAGTCCCAGCAATACGTAGGAGGGCAGAGGCTGCTTCAGGAGAAAATGGTTTAATCTCTCATTAATATCTTGACAACTGTGGCTCACTGCAGCTTTCAAACAATGACAGTCATTAGGGGAACAATCTTCAACACAGCGGTTGGGAAGCAGGTTTTTAATCTGCCTCCGTAGCAAGGATGAGAGGCCAGGGAAGTTTCCCATTTCATGTATTTTCTGCAAATTGCTGGAAGTGATTAGTAAGAATATCTGGTGAAGCAAGTAAATAATTACTCTCGATGATACTGTTGAATCTTTTCTTGCATTTTTCAACAGACACATAGATCTCACACTGGAGACAAATAAACAAAATAATTCCCAAAGCAACAACAGCCCCAGAAATTTCAATTTCGAAACGAAGAGTGATGGCATTTGCTCAGCGTTTTATATAAGAGCATCTTTACTGCTTCACAGCACCACACGCCCGGTACTGCTGTTTCATGGCATGCATCGTCTCCCATGCTCTGGTCTCTGAACAAGCCACAAAGCCTCAGTTACAGATGGCAGGGTAAAACACACACAGGAGATCTGCTATTAAAATCCCCCTATGCCAAACATCAGCTCACTGGCAGCTATATTTTCATATTCCAGTCACAAGTCAGGACCGACTCTTACATTACCATGGGGGTTGTCAGTAATCTAGATTTTTTTTTTTTTGTAAATGATTTCCAAGCAAACCACCTAAACTGTAGGATGATATTTTTACACGAGGAAGAAAAAAATATTGAAGGAATATCCCTGCCCTGCAACACAGAGAAAAGGAAGAACTCATTCTTCTGGCAGCTGTACTGCTATTTCTGATTTACTATACCATTTTTTAAGCTACATTCTTGCATGATCATTACTGAGGGAAAAAAAAACCAAACCACACAGATTAAAACAACACCAAACTGAGGACACAAGCCTGACTGACACGTCTGTGAAGTGCTCGTCAGCTCACACCACACACTGCTGGATGGGGGGAAGCCAGCACTAGAAAGAAGTGCTTAAATAACCCAAATCAACCGAAAGACACGTGGAGACGTGAGGTATCGAGGCCTCTCTCTTCACGGCTCCTGAGCACTGACATGCCTCTAGGTTTGATCCAGCCAAAAGGTGCTATCTGTGTCCGTAAGGTCGCAGTATCCCATCCATCTGCAATCCTCCAAATAGAATCACAGAATCTTTTAGGTTGGAAAAGACCTTTAAGGTCATCGAGTTCAACCGTTAACCCAGTACGGCCAAGCCCACCACTAACCCATGTCCCTAAGCACCATGTCTACACCTCTTTTAAATGCCTCCAGGGGTGGGGACTCCACCACTTCCCTGGGGAGCCTCTTCCAGTGCTTGACAATCCTTTCGGGGAAGAAATTCTTCCTAACATCCAATCTAAACCTCCCCTGGTGCAACTTGAGGCCATTTCCTCTCATCCTATCACTTGTTACTTGGGAGAGGAGATGACCTCAACTTCACTACACCCTCCTTTCAGGTCGTTGTAGAGGGCGATCAGGTCTCCCCTCAGCCTCCTCTTCTCCAGACCAAACACCCCCAGCTCCCTCAGCCGCTCCCCATCAGACTTGTGCTCCAG